GTGCTCTTGCACTAGACTCTATACGCATACAGCCCCCCCACACACACACATACACGAAGTTGAGTAGGAGCAGTTGGGGTGTAGATGGGGGAGGGTAATTAAAAAAAAAAAAAAGAAAGTCCTTGCACTAGACTCTATACGCATACAGCCCCCCCACACACACACATACACGAAGTTGAGTAGGAGCAGTTGGGGTGTAGAGATGGGGGAGGGGATCTAAATGCCATGAAATTATATTGTATGATATTCAAAGAAATTTTAAAAAAATCTATACAATAGAACATAGAGAAATCATGTTTTTAGTGACCTGGGAGCTTCATCCGACTGGCTAGATTGCACACTATTAGAAGATGCCATCCATGCTACTGGAGAAAAAAAGTCATGAGTAGCCTAAACCAGCTGTGAACCCTCTGAGCTACATTAACAAACAGCCCAGCAAGATACACCCATTAGTGTAACAGTGGCACACAGCTCTTGGGGGTAACCAACCACTTTAGATTTAAGGCCAGCTCCACAAGATGAAATCCATGCTAGGAACCATCATCAAGGTCAAGAACCTGTTGCTAGACAGGTCATAGGCCTTAAGAGAAAAATCTACTACCACAAATCTGCTAAGTGGACACTATTTAACTGACTCTTAATGACTTATTGTTATACTCTTGGTCACTGCATCTCTCAACCCTCATCAGAGAAATTTCTTTTTGCATTAGTGTGCAAGGAACACAGAGAGTCACAACGGGTCAACATGTAGACAATAAGAGGTTGGGGAAAGTTCAACCCTAGGTCAAGAACCTGTTGCTAGACAGGTCATAGGCCTTAAGAGAAAAATCTACTACCACAAATCTGCTAAGTGGACACTATTTAACTGACTCTTAATGACTTATTGTCATACTCTTGGTCACTGCATCTCTCAAACCTCATCAGAGAAATTTCTTTTTGCATTAGTGTGCAATGAACAAAGAGACTCATAACGGGTCAACATGTAGACAATAAGAGGTTGGGGAAAGTTCAACCCTAAACGGGACATCTATATCACACCTTCTCCTCCCAAGACTCAGAGATCACTGCAGAAGAAGGGGTGGAAAGACTGTGGGAGGCAGTGGTAGTGGATCACTGAAACAAAAGAACAAGTGTTTTCTGCACACAATAGGGCAGTTACACATATGAATAAACAGTGATTATGATTAGTTATTTTTCCAATCTAGCATTTACAAAATCAGATTAGTACAACAGGAAGGCAAGATTACAGTTCGAAATTTCTAGCTTTAAGACAAGCTCTGTACTATGAACTGTAAACCTTAGACAAATTATTTAATTCTGTCCTCCACGGGCATTGCACGACACGGGTGCACTTACCTACATGCAGGAAATACACGCATACTCATAAAATAAAAATTAAGTGTTTTTTCTTACTTTCTCAGTTCCAAAGTGTAAAAAAAAAAAAAAAAAGAAAAAGCCTTTAAAGCATGTTACGTCTAGAAAATAACACAAATTCAGATAATGCTGCTAATGAGAACAATGAAAATAACGATATGAAGTCTCCTGGGTCTGTGCAAGCTACAAATGAATCCTCAACTTGGCAGTCACTTCCACCCTGACACAAGCAAGTGATGAATGCTTAACCTGCATTCCAACAAGTTTTAATCACCTAACTTCAGACTGAAAAATGTCCACATTCCGTTTATTCACATTATAAAGCTGTATGTTGGTATTTTTGAGGAATATGCTAACTACCCACATTAGTAGTTTACCAATGATGTGCAGTGATACCTTCCGTGGTTTACTGGCTAAGAGATAACAAAAAAATTAATGAGTATGTTCACATTAAAATTTTAGGATGCCTTTGTAAAGATCTGTAGCTTTTCATTTTTTAAGTACTAATACTTCTGTTTTGTAAAGAAAACACTCAGCTTTGATACTTTACCATAATCCATTATAATAGATCATAAAATGAGTTCATCTAAGATCAGATATTCAAAGCACACCACTTAGTTCTGAAATAACGATTATGTACATAATATATTCTAGAGCAAAGATTAAAAAATAAGTTATTCAAAAGGAGTACAGAAGAATTTTCTTTTACATACTAAATTCCAAAAATACTACAGAAAAGAAAGTCGACACTACAGAATCAAGTAAAGCTAACAAGATGTAGCAAAATTTTAATTAATCACCAATCTCTTCAAAAATATTTAGACCCTCTTGGGAGCTGGATAGATGGTTCAGTGGTCAAGAGCACTGGCTGCTCTTGAAAAGAACCTGGGTTTGGTTCCCAGGATCCATGTGGCAGCTAACAACCATCCCTAACTCTAGTTCCAGAGAAATTCAGCACTTTCTTCTGGCCGCCACAGACACTGCACACACAGGTGATACATACATGTAGGCAAAACACTTGTACACATAGAATAAAAGAAAATTTAATTAAAAAAATTTTTTTGAGCTTTCTATTTATTGTTTTCCATTAACCAAATTCAATAACCCTACAGTTAAGTCTCTTGTACTTATACAGATGTGATAGGTATAAACAGATGTATATATTTACATATTTGCTCATATGTATGTATATACACACATCTATCACTTGTTTCTCAGTTTCACAGTAAAGAGCACATCTGCCAAAAGGAAAAAATAAAAGCAATAAAACCTGGTCACTTGTTCTTTCTCTTTAATTTTCTATACTGAAGAAAGAAGAAGCTTGGCAGGCATAGAAATAGACTCATTTCATCAGCAGCTGTAACGGTTAATCGGTGAGTCAGCTATTCTCAGACAGTCTTGTCATACTTTAACTAAGGAAAACATTTTGAAAACTGCCTTGAACAATTCTATTCTCTCAATTCCTTATAAAGGAAACATGGAGTCTCTCAAATTTGGTAGAGATACTTTCTGGAACAAAGTATGCAAACACTTTGTTGCAGTTAGTAGAGCACTCATGGAAAGGCAAGACTATTAATAAAAACACTAATGGCACCAAAAAATTAAGCACACCTGTTGTCATCAAAGAGGAAGAATTTAGAATTGATGTAACAAAGCTCACCTGTTCATTTTTGCAAAGCCACACACTGTTTCCCCGTAACACAGTAAAAATTTTGGCTTTATACCCTCTCAATTCAAGATATCCACATTTCTCAGGAACCACAGCAGCTTGAAACTGTGAAGTAAGGGATTGTGACTTCAGTGCATTTAATATTATGCTGATCCAATCATTTCTCTCTTCTGAAAATAGAGGAAAAAACACTTTAGACATACAAACGCAGAAAAATCAACAAGGAACCTGCTTGCTTTGAAGCAGGTGATACCCAAATTCTTTACCACAACCACAGTCTACACTCCATTGAGAGCAGAGCCAGTGGTTGCCCTAGAACCAGTATCTTGAGCTTCGTCTTGGGACTTACCAGAAATGCCAAATTTCAAGTTCCATTCCGGCCCCGAGTCAGAATCTGCATTTTAGAAAGAACTCCAGGAGACCTATAACCTTATTAATGCCTGACAAACACTTTTACATGACTCAGGAGACTGGGTTTTCTCTTTACCACAATTTGAGTTGAATGTGCCCAGTAGGCTCATGTTTTGGTCTCTTGGTCCCCAGTGGCTAATGCTGTTTTGAGAGGTTATGAAAACTTTGAGTAGCAGGTCAAAATTGGAGGAAGTAGGTTATAAGGGGTTGCCTTTAAAGGCTACACCCAATCCCAGATCTCGTCCATCTCCCTACTTTTTCTCCATAATTAGCTGATGAAACTTCTACATGTCCCACTATTATGATATTCCCAAGTTTCTGAGGCCCCCTTACCAGGTACTGAGCCCTCTGAAACCATAAGCCAAAAATAGGTTATTTCTAAAAGGCCATTTGATCCTAGCTACACAAAAATAACTAGTACCAAAGAAAGCAGTATCACCACACAACAACGATGGATTAGACAGGACAATTCAGTCACCCAAATACTCAGAAAATTAGGCTTCTTAACCGTAACTTGATATTCAATCTCCCATTCCATTCTCCAAGTAACAATAGCATCTCACCTAGCAAGTTAAAACATGATACTCCCACTCCCTCCACAAAAGCTAAGTGACCTTTAACTACGTACCACACACAGCATGAGAGGCATTGGAATGTGAACTAGTCTCCAAGGAGCAATCAGGATTGTAAGTCAAGTTAAACCTGAACACATGATAAGGCATAGACTAGTATAAATGTCATACCAATGGCACCAAATAATATATGAGTCTATTCAACTGGAGTGATTTGCTGAAGGTCATACAGCAAATTAGCACGAAAATTATAACAGCTACTATTTCAGCTCCCACACAACTGCATTTGTCCATAAAGGAGGAGAAGGAATGCTAGATCTTGACAATGAGGAGCACTTCAAAAGACCAACATGAGCTGGGAAGGGAGAAGGGCAGAGAAGGACTTCAAGAAAGGACAAAACAAGAACAAAGAAAGAATCAGCATGAGTTCAGATATATCAAGAGGGATATATTTATAAATGTGAACTTACAAGGGAATTATGAGAACTATGGATGGAGAAGCTGCACCGGCTGCTGGAGGAATTTTGTTTTATTCCAGAAGCCAGGGAAAACCACTTCTGGATTCTCAGCCAGGAGGAGACAGGATTGAGATAACTAAGACATGACTGGTGTGCCAACCTGGATGACTAACTAGCACTCAGGAATAAAGCAAGAGAGACAATGAAATGAAACAAAAAAACATGCGTCAAGTGACAGTGAATTATAGGTAATAAAACGAGCGGCAATGTTCAACATGATTCGTGGGTGCCACACAAAAATAACTCAGAATAAAATGGGGTAGGACGATAAGAACTGGCCATGCAAAAATGGTGGGACAATCCAGTTAACAGAATACCCTCAGGTTTTCTCTGTACGCTGATGGCCACATGTGGGCAGCAATGACCTCTACAAGAGAACACAGTAGCTGCAGGTAGAAGCTGAACTCAAAACGAGAAGAAAAGCACAAACAAGAAGTACAGCTAGATCCATGAAGATGGACAGTGGACACCAAAATAAACAGGGAGGGGGTTGTCGAGGCAAAAGGAAAAAGCTCAGGTCACAAAACTTTTCAAGGAGAGAGCAAACAGGCCCAAGCTTGGGATGAAGGACAGCTTCTCAGATAAATCTGCCCAGAGCAACTTCATTGTGGATTAAAATAACTCTCCATATTAGACATGATCACAATGAATTAAGAATATATAAATTACTTCACACTGAGTCTTAAGTTTTAAATTATCACCACTCATGGTTACCTCTGAAAATACTAAAAATAGCTGTGTCCATGATCAAAGCTAAAGCATTTACGAGGAACTTATTTAACATGGGTTTTGCAGGCATTACATAATCCCCCTAAATTGTTTTTTCCCAAGTGTCAGGGTGAAATACATTTCAAATATTCCCAGTGCTGTTAAACATCCTAAGGTAACACATGGAAAGGCATCTCAGTCAATGTCAACCACAGTTCCCCACAGTGCCACATCTCCATCAACAAGTTCAGACCACACTAGGAAAACATACTGTATTCTTGGCAAGAACTCCAGGCAGAGATTCTACTTAGTGTGGCTATTACTTATGAATGTCAGTTTCATATAAGCTATTCCTACCAAGTCAATGTAAGGGATATTTTTTTTTCTTACTATACATAAATCAGTTTCAAATGTGGGTATAAAATATAAAGTAGATCAAAGTATCTGTGGCTTTTAGATGATAGCATATATCTCTATTTCTCAGTTATTAGTTTGAAACTGACTATTACATCTTTTGAGTTTGCATATTTTTACTGAGTTTTTGTGCATTTCATATAATAGATCTTAATCAAATGGATTTCATGTATTCTGTCATATATGTTAAGTCCTATCTAGTCAAGCATTTGTACCCTGACGTCCCTCAGTGCACGTTCATCCACTGGAGTCCAATCAGCATATCTAGAGTCACTCCCTTAAAGAAGATCTGTTTGGGGCTTACATATTAAAGCAATACTGCAATGCACAGTTCCCTACATTACTTAGCTCCTGAGAGGCTTGGATAGTAATAGGAAATAAACAACCATGAAAACAATACAAAGAACAAGAAATAAATATCCTATTTCGGGCTGAGAATCATCTGTCATTTATTCTAAGCATCTTGAGCAGCCACGAGTCTCAGAATTCACTGCCATTCACTGCAAAGAGAAGTCTCTCTGATTAAGAGTAAGAGTAATGTTCATCTGTGGGGAAAACATGAATATTTAGACTGCAGTTTGGTGCCATGTCAATTAGCTAAACAACAGTAGTGAACTCTTGCCTAGGGGCTAATACCTCCCTAGCCATGGGTTTTTGACTCAGTTTACAATAAGCCTGTATTACCTCTGATTGAGTGGGCCTCAAATTCATAAGGCTAGGGAGACATTTTGAAAGACAGAAAGAATGTAAGTGCCAAAAGGTAAAGAAAACAGCTTTGAAAAGCTATCTCCAGGACATGACAGCCATTGCAAACCTAATCTCACAGAAACCACAGGTTGCCTGCACTGGGCCTACACAAGACTGGGTCCATCAACAGCCAATCAGGGATTAGGGAAGAGCTCCTGAAGCCCTACCCCTCATTGCTGAACTACTGGCAATTGTCCGGGACTCTGGGGGAAGGACAGTCCTTCTCTTCAATTGTTTACCAAACTACGAGTCCATCAGGCTCTGCTGAATAGTTCCAAACTTGTGGCACAGATGGGCCTGGTTAAAATACATGGGTCACACAACACAAAGGCATGAATGTGGGAATGAGACATACAGGAATTGGGGGCCTGACGGGGTGGGACATAAAAGCGGTGGGAAGTGAGAGTAAGAAAATGTACTATATACACATATGAAGTTGTCAAAGAACAACTTAATCAATAAAAAAGAACAAGAAATAACAGCAGCATTTAGCCTATTTGATAGGAAGAATGAATAGACACTAAAACAATAAGTGATTCAAGAGTCATTTGTCTTTGGCTATGCAATATGTGCATCCTTAGACAAAGGGAAACATTTCCGCAATTTACAAAATTCCAAAGGAAATAATTACTTCCCATTCAACAAGTGGCTTGGGTAAAGCTAGGTGTTATTCTAGCATGGCAACTCAGTCCAAAAACATTGTGTGACATTCTAGAAAGCAACACTTCATATGTTTTAAATTATATGCCATTCTTAATAGTGTGACAAAATCGCACTGTCCCACTCTGCCCTCATCAGGATTTGAAGCATCCCTCAGCCCATCCAAGCTGCCCTGTATAAGCCATTCCTCCACTAGGTGTACAGTTAGAGCCAACTTAGCTATCAGGTCAGCTGTCATGGGCCTGTGGTGCTGGTGCTCCTGAGTCCTTATATGCTTAATAATGAACTGGAAGCACAATCATCATCACACTAGCAATTTGGAAGATGCCAAAGGACAGCTGCAAAGTGCTTCTGGTTAAAAGGATACTAATAGGTATTTTTGGAAATAGAGATTAAATTGATATAACTTTTATTAAAATATGATGTTACACTTTTTCTAATGCTAATGCTAGTGATCTTTTACTGTGCCTAATTTAAGAATTAAACTTGATCATAGGTATGTACTTACTGAGAAGAATACAGTACACATAGAATGTGGCATTATCTGCAGACTAAGGCATCTCCTGGTCTTGGGATGCATCTCTGCTAGCTAAGAAGATGTAATGCCACTGTAAGATTACTCTTTACAATAATAAATGTCTACTGAGTTTCTCAGTGGTAGCACTTAACTAAACACCATTCCTTCTGAATATATTCTCAGAACTAGCTATGGCTCTGCTCTAAGCATGGTAATCTAAATTGTGAAAAGACTAAAGTGGAGTGTGACAAACAGTGAATAAGTGATTTTGTTAGAATGCGACTAAAATAAGGCAAGTAGTACTCTCTTCCATCTCAAAGTAGTTTTTGAGCTTTTCCACAATGCCAAAAAATCAAAACAAAAAAAGAGTTTTAAAAAATTCAACAATTATATCTTCTCTAATTATAAAATTTAGCAGCAGAAACAGTCATTAGCAACATGGACTGATTAAACCAGAGATTATTACACAAGGACATGCAACCACCATCAACATAATCACAAACTATAATTGGACCTTCACCATTTTGATTTTGTCTCCTTTCTTTCATTTGAGACAAATTTCAAGTTTGCAGCCCAAGTCAGCCTGGAACTTGCAGAAGCCCCCTGCCTCTGCCTCCTAAGTGCTGGGGTTACAGGCATGAGCCATCATGCCCAGCTTCAACCTCTAGTTCTAAATACCACTGAATGAAAAGCTCCTCAATGGGATCGTGAGAACAAAAATTTTGTCAAACTGATAAGCACTAATTCAGATAAGTATTTATTTACTCCTATGTTAGAAGATGTCTGGAACCCAGGGGCAGAGCAGTACACAAGACAGTTACAGACCTTTCTCTCCTGGAGTTTACACTCTGCTGGAGTGAGGAAGGCCATAAGAACATAGAGATTCAATACAACATACTACACAGTGACAAGCGAGGTGGAATAGCATAAAGCATAGGGCGAGGGATGTCAGAAACCTACTTTATCCAGTATTATAGGAAAAGGCTCAGAAGAAAGGACTGGTCAGTCAAAGCCTTAAAAAATGAAGTGATGATGCAAGAAGGGAAACGGCTGGAAAAAAGAGCACTGCAGGATGGAGATCAACATGTGCCATGGCCCTGAGGCAGCTCAAACTTCATAGTCAGGTGCAAAAGTCCCCTATAGCTGAAATGTGCTGAGGACATGAAGGCATGGAAAGAAAGAAGGAAAGAGGATGAAAGCAAGATGGAGAGGGCTTTGGGACCTCAAACACACTGCACTCGATTCTCAATAAGAAGATAATGAAACTTATTGAAGTGACTTACTTACTGAATGATTTTTCTGACAGCTGTTCTGATGAAATAACTACAGTCAATCAATAAGGTAATTAATACAATCCAAATGGAAGTGATAGCTTTGAGCTGACTGGTGATCCTGGAGGGGTGGTTAAGAATTGGTCAGCATTTAGACATATTTTCAAAGTCAAATTGACAATATTTGGTAATAGACAAGGTATGAGATAATAAAAGAAGGAAAAGATTACAGAAAGAAAGCCTGAGCACATGGGTTTCCCATTTCCTGTGAGGAGGAAGATTCCAGAGGAAGGTTTGGTGGAAACAGGGGTTTGGACATTTGACAGCTGAGATCCTGCAGAAAACAAGGCTGAGATGCCAAGTAGGAAGCTGAACATATGATTCCAATTGATTCCAGAGTACAGGAAGAGGAAGAGGTGGAGATACACATCTGCAATCAGTCATCTTAACCTACAAGATCTGCAAAGCCAAATCTGTGACCCTCTAATGAATATTTTTAAAGGAATTTGGAATCCTAGCACATTCCCAAAACATCTTCTATGAGAAACTCCCAGAACTATGAAACAGTCACTGAAGCGGATTCTCTGTAAATAATTAATAGGAGGAGGTTGAAAAGTGAGGGTTTAGAAAATGTTTCATGATTTGTTTCTAAACATACGGTAGATCTTCAAACAGGTATAATAAATACTGCTTCCTCCCAAAACAACTGGGGTATATTTCATCTACCAGGACTAATACTTTTTTTTATTAATATTAGATATCAGTCAGAGGTGCCAGTGCAGGGCTGTATGATGTCTAGAGTTGAGTGACTGACACATGAGCCTATTTCCCAGGGTCTAGAATGTATTAAGGTGAACAGAAACACAGCACCAACAACTGACAGCCAGGGTCTGAAAACAGGCCTGGACAGGGGAGAACCATCAGAATTGTTAAGCTCTGCTCTAACCCTGAAAGGTACCACAGCATTACCTGTCTAGAAAGTACCGTATCTGTATGTGTAGCCACAGGAACTCAGAATGGCTACAGAGATTGTAGTGATGTGACTTCACACCCATCCCAATGTTTCTGACCCAGAGCTAGAAGAGCCAAGAAACCCTTTTTGAGGAGGAGGATTTTCAAAGTAACACTATTTCAATATAATTTACTGTTCATTAAGAAAATAGCAGTATTATTATCATGAAATTTGGAATAACTGAAGCCTTAGATAATTTGAAGGTAAATGATGCCAAACTGTAATGCTATCAGCCACGGAAGTGGTAAAGAAAGATTTAGAAAGTGACACCTGTTGCAGGGTAATGCTGGGTAGCTATCATAGTGATCACTGAAAACTTCTGCAAACAAATGAAGAATTTCTCTCTGACCAGACGGTGAACTATTTCCCTTTCTGATCTAAACTCTGACTTTGCTTCACCTTTAGATTGAAATAAACTAATTTAGCCTAAAGTTCATCAAGTCATATTTTTTTCATTGTCCAGTTTCCATAAAATGAAAATAATCAACCATGTATGGTTATATAAGACAGATGATCTGATGAATCTTACTTAGTGGGTTGTTGATGGTTTCATGCCAAATATAAAAACACAACTTACATACAAACATGTATGGATAAGTCAGGACTAGTGACACAACCTGTAATCTTGACTACTTGAGAGCCTAGAGGACAGAATGAGCACAGGGTCGGCCTGGCATAGAGGACAGAATGAGCACAGGGTCGGCCTGGACAACTTCAGAGACCTTGTATCTCTAAAACAAATGTTAAAAGGTCTGGGGATAGACTTCAGGGGTAGAGCACTTGCCTCCTATGCTCAAGGCCTTAGATTCAATCCCCAATATTGAAAACCATAACCAGGCTTCTACACATACTTCCTTTAAAGTCTGAGTCATTAATATGCAAAAATGGTTTCCTATGAAAGTAAAATATGAGTAATCCCACTGAGAGACAATATATTTTTACTGAAAAAATACTGTGGCTTCAAAACTGAAAGATGTATGATTTAACAAATCATAAATGAATATCAAATTTAATGAAATTCTTACACCATGTTTATATCACAAACATGAACTACATATCACATAGGTTCACTGTAAGCATGTAACTTTTCTGCATGTATGTATGAGTGTTAGCATGTGTCTGGCACGTTTGTTTGAGTGGGCTTGCATGTGTGTGAGCATGCTTGTAGAAGCCAGAAATTGATGCCTGATGTCTTCTTGATCATCCTCTACACTATCCAGGGTCTCTCACTGAACTCTATACTTGCCTACTCAACTAGCCAAAATAGTCATCCTGCCACAGGGATTCCCGAGTCTGAGATTAGAGTTGGGCCACCATGCTCGCCCAGCTTTGTATAGGGGAGTTGAAGATCTGAGCTCTGGTCTTAAGCTTGGAGACAAGTGTTTATCTACAGCTCCACAGCCCCTAAACATGTAACTTTCAAATATGTGTGTGATACATACTATTTAATAAAATTTGTCTCACTTTTAATGTTGCAATGGTGGAAGCTTCATTTGATACATCTACTTTAAAATGCAGGCCATCATGCCTATATAAAATTTGCTTTGAGATGACAAGGTGATAGTGACAATCACCTCAAAGACACAGGTAGTCACCTTTCTGGGCAGAGCAACCAAAGTATATGGAACAACTGTCATCAGGGCCAGTTCAGAGGAACAATGACAGGTGCTTCAAGAAATACAGGGACAAAAAGAAACCTGTAATTTCAAATACGGGTCTTGCACATTGAATATCATGAATGTGGACAACGTGCTGAGTGTCGGGTGATGATTCACAGAAGTGGATCCTCACATGCAATGCTCTACAAAACAGTCCAGGTTAGGGGCTGGCAAACTACTATGGGACAATATATAAAGAGCTGAGAGTGGTTATAAAACAAGATTTCTGTCATCAGATTTAGCGTGCCGGCCAGGTTGATGACCCCTACTCTAGGATCTGAGTGTTTTGCATTTCTTTTAAATACCACATCAAATAAGAAACTTTTTCTATATAAAGCATATGCAACATGTACAGAGATTTGTTATACAACACAACATTTAGTACAAGCAATGCCATTTGTTATTTTTATTCTATGTTTTTTGGAGGCTTTGTGTGCTGTTTTGTTTTTGATAACAACATAAACTACTAGTATGAGTTCATAAATCAGTATCGATCATAGTTTGAAAAACACTATTCCAATGTGAAGGACAGCTGGGATATTCTCAATATTGATTGTCTTAAGCAATAATGAGAATTTTCTAGAAATACTTATTTACTGAATGTTTTCTTTGTACCGTATGCTAACACATTCAAGGAAGGGTAGTTTCAAAGACACCGTTGCTTTACAATAGTTCACATTACACTAGTTTACAGGTGCTGGTGGATATTCCTGTGTGTAAAATGGGGCAGCAATAAGAGCTGCTGTACGAGGCTGTTATGACGTTGAGTTTTGCAAAATGTCTGTTATATATGAAGGACTCAGTCCATGCTCTTAAGATCAAATTATTTATATATCTACGCCCAAATAAAAAACAGTCCTTAAATCAGCATAAAGGAGAAGGAGGAGGAGAAGAAAGAGTTGACAAGAAATGAGCTTACTAAGCTAGTTTTTGTCAATTTGATATGCATTAGTGTCACCTGCAAAGAAGGAACTTCAATTGAGGAATGTCTTCCATCAGACTGGCCTGTGGACATATCTTTGAAGTGTTTTCCTAACTGCTAATTGATATAGTAGAACCTAGCAAACTGCAGGTAGTGCCATCCCTGGGCAAGGGGGGGTCTCAGCTGTATAAAAAAAGTAGCTGAGTGAGCCAGGGGAAGCAAGCCAATAGGCAGCATTCCTTCATGGCCTCTGCTCTAGTTCTTGCCTTGAGCTCCTGCCCTGACATCCTTCCAACATGGACTATAAATTGTAAGGGGAAATAAACCCTTTCCTCCCCAAGCTGCTTTAGGTCATAGTTTTAGCACAGCAATGGAAAACAAACTAGAATACTTACCTTCTTTTTCTACTCTAAAAACAAAAGTTCTTTGCGTCGTAACAATTTCAAATTTGTTATCTCTTTGAGCTCGTACTGTAGATATAGCAGCAAGGGGGATTATTCCTTTTGAATACATTTCCTGCATAGGGTAGAGAAAAAAATGAAGACACTTTAACATGAAATTCTCCTGATCTTATCAAAATAAGAAGGGCTCAATATTCACAACCGCTTCGCATTCATGATTTCTATCTGAATTTTAAAATGACAAATATACTGATTCAATGTCAAAAACCAGCCAAACAAACCTACAAAATGTTCTTCCTTTTAAGAGAAATGACTTTTCCAACATTATATTCATCGGGATTTAAAAGGCAAAGCATCAAATAAAATAATACTAATAACCAGCAATATATAGTTTCTAAAACCAGCAGCATGTTCTTTAAAGGAGCTCATCACAATGATTTGATGGTATTTGCAGGCATCTGCTGGTCACAACAGGAACTGTCACCAAAACAGCTCAAAATACTGCTGTTACATATGGAGAATAAAAATTACCTAAGGAACCTGTGGGATTTTTATCAATTAACCTTATAAATTAATCGCCATTAAATCAATGCTTTGATGAGAACTTTATTCTTCTACTAAATCACATTTTTTTAAATTCTCTAATGAACAAAGAGTAAGAAAGTCCAGGCATGGTAGTTAACGCCTTTAATTCCAAACTTTGAGAAATGGAAACGAGACCTGACTGACATCAGCCCACCTTGGGCTACATAGTGAGCTCTAGGCTAGCCTGGGCTACACTGTGATATCTTGTGTCTGAAACACAACAGCAAAGTGAGGAAAGGTGGACCTAGCTCATTGAAACTGGAAAAACAGAGATAATTCTCCTTTCAAAGATCATTCTTAGGACATTCTCAATCATCATTTTCTTAGAACCTCCCAAAACATTTACCACAATGACCATCTCACAATTTCAATCATGTATTAAGTGTTAAATATTTATTGTGTCCTGTGTTAAAAAGAGAATTCAGAGTCCTATACATTTAAAGAAAATAACAAAAACAAACTAATATAAGTTGAGAATTGAATTCAAACTAAGGGATACGTGGATTAAAAGATGGACATTTTTGGAGCTGGAAAGATGGCTCAGCAGTTAAGAGCACTGGCTGCTCTGGCTGAGGATTCAGGCTCAGTTCCCAGCACCCACGTGATTGTTAACAACCATCCCTAACTCTAGTTCCTGGAGATCCAACACCTTTTTCTAGTATCCTCGGGCACTGCACACATGTGGTGCACTTACATGAAGGTAAAACACTTATATGCATAAAATAGAAGAAGTGTTTTCAGAACATGATGCAACTTGACACTGATTTTAAGAAATCTTAACTTTAATCAAATTGATAAGTGAATGGAGACCATTCTGATTAGGAAGACTGAATAACAATAAGGAAGGTGGGAGGATGAGAAATTAGACCAAGCAACACAGTATTTCAAATAATAAACAACAGAGTGCTCCAAAAAGAACAAGCTGGAAAAACACATCCTAACATTCCAGTAGGTCTGCATAGCAGCAGAGTCTCAACACATTCTTAAAGCCTTTGTCTTCCATTTCCTTCCCCCTCCCCATTGCCCTGGGCATTAGCCATGTGTAAGGAATATATGAAAGTCCCCAAAACCCCTTACAGGCCCATATTCAGACTACTCAGGGCTCAGCTTGTGACAGTATTTTAGAAGGTAGCAAAAAGTTTTGGAGATCAAGCCTTGTTGAAGGAAACAGGGGTCACCACAAGGGTACTTAAAAGATTGTACCTTGCCTCCAGTCCCTTCCTGACCTCTGCCAGTGCCACCATGAAGTAAGTTATCTCTGCCATATGCTGCTGCCACCATGCTGCTCCAGATTACCATGGGCTCAGAATCAAGGGAGATAAATACTATGGTCTGAACCCTCTGAAATCGTGAACAAAAACAAATCTTTTCCCATGTATGTCAAGTAATTTGCCACAACACACCAAGTCTGAATTGATATGGGATGAATCCCAAGTTAGGAACAGGTATTCAGATCCAAAATGGCAAAGAAGAATACACTAAACTATTCCTATAAGCACAGAGTAGGTTGCTAGCTCACATTCCTCCTGCCCTCCCAGCCACACACTCCTGCCCTCACAGGGAGGGAACAGCTGTCAGCAGCAGTGCTCCACAGGAAGGATTAGCTACTCCGCTCCTGTTTGTACATCATATCAACTTGGTGTTTTCTTTTAGTTCTTCAACAAGTTTTCCTTCACTCACTCTATTCCTGCCTTTCATCTCTGTCAAAATCCTATCCATGTTTTAACAGCATTCTAAATACACACACAAAGGCTTTCTCTCCTACATTCTCTCATGTAGCCAACAACTAGCATGGTGTTTCCATGTGAATTAGGAAGGTAAATGGACAACCCCAAGAAGAGGGAGAAAGTTGTCAGGAGAAGCACTCAAAAAGTAACTAGTTTTCCCTCTCATTTCATTTCTTGTTTGTTTTCTCTCCATAAGAAGGAAAATCCCTTACCACATTTCAACTACCAAATTTACTGAGACAAATGCAAAATTGTTCTCTTTCATTTGACCTAACCCCCTTCACCCCTCCCTCTATCCCTTCCTCATCTATCCATTTAACTCAATCAGACCCCCATACAGTGAGGTATCAATAGTATATGTGACTGTCCCCAAGGTATGCAAACATTAAAACTGAATTCATCATCAGTTGAAAACTTATCCTTGCTACACACCTGTCCCTTCAAATGTCACTCTTCCAGCCCATCACTCTGAAATAATGAGGACGTCCTTGACCTGTGTGGATCCTTCCCACCTATAATGCAGATTGTCATTCCATCTACAGTACTAACATGCTCCCCCCTGACTCATCAACTCTGAATTCTGCCCTTCTAAGTTCCTAGAAAAGCTGGGTGTGAAAGGCATGTTCTTGAGGCTCATCTTCAGAGTTAGACCTAATCCTTCATAGCTAAGTATAAATATATATTCTTGAGCAAATCCTTCCTGCCCAGCCTTTTCTCTGGGACTTTCAGCCTCAGCTGGGAAAAATTCTCCAATTTAACAGTAACCTGTATATTTGTTTCATAATAAATATTTACTGGAATTCAGATGATTTTATATATATATATATATATGTGTGTGTGTGTGTGTGTGTGTGTGTGTGTGTGTTTGTATGTGTGTGTTTGCCTACATAGAAGTCAGAGCACAACTTGCTGGGATTCAGTTCTCTCCTTTCACTGTGTGGGTCGGGGGAATTGAACTCGGGTTCTCAGGCTTGGTGGCAAGCAGCTTTATTGGATGAGCCACCTTGCTGGTCCTTGCACAGGATTCCAATGAATAGGAATGGTTAAAGAGATTCAGGCAGAAAAAGAGAAAGGAATGTATGAAGAGTGGAAACATGCAAGGGGAACGTGGGGGAAAGGTACTCTAGTTTCCCACTGTATACCCAGATATTCTTTTTGTAAAATATTTTATTTATTATTTTTATTTTTTAGGTGTATGGGTGTTATGCCTGCAGATATTCTTAAAGCTCCCTGCAAAGGAATACACAGTTGGTTTACCAAAGGAAAACCTAAAAACAAAAGCAGGTAAAAATGGGAACCACCAAATGCTCTAGAAACTGTGAAAGGGGAAGAGAATATTTTTCCATTGTCAGGCACCACACAGACGTGAAAAGAGGCAGGTCGTTTTGGACATAGCTTAGGAACATATCTATTTATCATGGCTGACATAAGACAGTGGGAAATTTTAAATGTCCAAAGCATCTACCGTTGTTACTCAAAGTGATTTTTTTCTCAAACTTCAGTTTCCTAAGAATTACAAAAGCTTAGAAAAAACTCCCCAATGAGATAATTAACTGTTTGCTCCATGGACCTGTGACCCATTTGTCAGTAAAGAAAATCCAAATATCACTGCAGAGAAAAACAGCAATACAGGAAGAGTCTTTCCTCTGACCTCTCTACAGAGATTAACAAGCAATTCATCTTTTTTAAATGCCCATATGCGTATAAGTAACAATGTTATGTTTAACTAGTAATTACTTCTGGTAGAAAATATGGGGAAAAAAATCCCTAGAAGTGATCAAAATTTACTTAGCAAACTGACTACCACCTCAATTTAACCTCAGGGAGTTTCAGGTTCTCTAATGATTCATTTACAATCTATTATGAGATCTCCAGGTAAATCTTTTAATTTTTTTCAGCACTGTAGGGATGATTTCTATATTTCTCCTGTAACAACAGAAGGTAAAGACAATATAAGGGGAAAAGAAATCCTCACAGAATGGCAGCTCAAAATGCCTGTCTTCCAAAGTGTGAAATGTTCTTTAAAGGAAGAAATTTCAAAGTATCCCTTGAGCTTGTACCACACAGATATCTAGGTCAAATCTGTCATTTATCTGTCACTTTAGACAATGAAACAGCCACAGAGCAGTTCTGTCCACAGCAGAAGGGGAAGAGGGTGAATTAGACTTCTTAGCATGAGCTTGGATACGAAGACCACGGGATGACACTGTTTCTGTGATAGAATGAAGAAGTCCTTATTGAGACATGATTGGGCAACACTGATGAAACTAGAAGAAAACTAGAAAACTGGGGAGCTCTGCACACCACCTCCTGATGCCCAACCGCATGCTCAAATGAGCATCTTGACAGTCAGCAATTCAAATGCTCTGTTCACATAGCTGCTCAAAGGCCAGAGCCAACCAGAACACTAGTCATGACCATACAGGAGTAGGCCTTTTCAGAAGGGTCTCAGTAGAAACTGTCTCCTTTTTAAAGCAATAACACTGAGCGCTGGAATGTTTCGGCAAGATGAAACCAATCATCTAGATAGTAAATGGATGAAATGTCTCAGAACATCAACAGCTTGAATTTTAAAAAGGAATGGTGTTAGGCTAAATCATTTTTAGTTACTCGTACGAATGTAAACTTTTAATCTAAGTTTCCACAATTTTTGTTGCAGCACTATCTGAAAAGATGACAGGTAGGCCCTCTTTGCTACAAGTAAGATGAGCTATAAGAGGTCAAACAGAAAAACAGTGCAGATGGACAAATAAGCTAGAAATTCTCTCCCAAATGGGATAAAACCACTACCAACAAAGCCTCCTGGCACAGAAGCCTGACTCTCTCCATAGATTTCCTCTCTACTTCAATCAGACCAAACAGGGGCCCAGGTGCTGAGAGAAACTGGCAGTTAGATTCCCTCAGGTCTAGACCCTGTATTCACACTGGACACAGAAACCTCATGACTTTCAAATGAAAAGGCAGACAAGAAATAATAGCTAACGCAGAAAAAAAAAAAAATCACTGAAAATATTCATCCCACCACCCTGCAAACTGTGAAGATGTTCGTTTAAACCTGTTTGATGCTTAATCTGGGTCACTGTAAAAATGAAACAAAACAACCCATCTTTAAATGTATTATTCTCGGCATGCAGCAAGTGTTCTGTTGCAGGACATGTTATTTGCTCTCTGAAAGCAAATTCTGCCTTACAGCACTAACTAAAGAGAAATCTCTGTTCAAACCATAAAGTATTACAAATATTGGGTAGAAGAACTATCTAAATAATGAGAAAACAGTGCTAGACTAGAATCTGCACATAATGAATATGGGTTAAGTATTAAAAATTAAAATGGTAAAGAGAACTGTGTATAATTCAGACGAAAAGCATCTCATTTTAATAACCAAAACATGGCACATTTTCCAGTTCCAACTTTTTCTTACTGAAAGGACCAGAGAAGTCAAAAGTGTAGTTCAGAGAGTTTCTGTCTCATCTTTGCATTGCTGATGGCATTTCCTATGTTTACAGAAGATGCTCCAGAAATAAGTACTATTAGATACCCAAGTCTAAAAAAATTACGTGTCAACGAAAAGTTAAATTACAAAAAGAGTGAGTTTTATCATACTCAAATTCTTTTCACAGTGATAAACTATTTTCTATTCTTGACAAACTAAACTACTTTCTTATTTTACTAAAGTGCACTTAGCATGTATTAAATAATCTTTGAAGACTGGAAAGGTACTCACTCTTTCGTTATTGTAGTAAGAAATGCTGAGGCCATCAAACTTCACCCATCTCTTCTGAAACATGCGTTTTCTGTAAAACATACAAAACTGTCATTTTGCATTCCGATACTGTGAACTTGGAAATTAAATACATTTGTAAAGTCACTCTACTGAGTGACTTTTCCAGTTATTGTTGGCCAGGAGAGCTAATGGCAGGCTACGGCAGTGCACAGGTCTACCCAGGATACACAGGAAACAATAAGACTTTCTAACCAGCTAACCTGGGTATGTAAAATAATAATGTCAACCGTGTTATCACACACTACTGAGAGGTTCGCTGCAAAACAAGACATGGACCCCAGCAGCACCATTGAGCCCATGTTCCCTTAGTGAGCCAATCCCTCCCTAAAGATAATGCACAATATTCTCACCCTTCACCATCATTAGGCTTATCTGTCTTTCTTATTTTATTTTGATTTTTGTCGGGTGAATACATAATGTTTTGCTAAGCTAACACAGCCTGCTTTATTTAATTTACAAAGATAAATTATTGATTTTGAGTAAATAACCTGAAAAGTTCCTGTCAAACTCTGGGGAATCATTTATAATCGCTCAAAACAGCAAGCTTTGAAAGGGGTTAGTAGAAAAGGCAAACGCAATTTAAAGCACTCACTGACATGAAAGTCAAAGGCAAAATAAAGTGACCACATTTTTGTATTTAGGCTTTAAAGAAGTCTATTCTAACTCTAAACTGATAGGCCTAGTCCTGGTGTTGCTTATTTCCCACCATACTCCACAGGTTTTGAGACCCTGCCTTATAGGATTTCAATCTATACTGATGCCATCTGGATACTGTCGGCTTTTCACACAGACACAGAAACTAGCTTCCTGTTATAACAAGTAAAATAGGTCAACATCAACCATGTTTCCCTCTTCCTTTTACAGTTTGCTAACACATTTACAGGATTGGTATCACTTCCTGCGGTTTTCAGAAGAGTTAAAGATAGAAAAAGAGCTTCCGGGCTTTGGGAGAGATGTCCTCTGGCTGCTTCCTGGCCCAAGGACAATTTCTTGTGTAAAATATAGACATATTCCCTCATTCATCATTAGCAAAGGTATGTAGCTCCTGGTTCACAACTTTAATTGACCAAACAGAAGAAAAAAATAATAAAGCTTACCAGTGCAGACAGCTGTTTCACAAACACGCACTGAAGTCATGGTTAATAATGCTGGAACATGTCACCAGCATGTCAGCATGCTGACTACTGGTGGCCTCCTTCCACCTTACCCCCTAACCTTTCAGCTTCTATCTAACCTCTACAGGCCTGCCCTGAGTCTTCGTCTAAGAATAACACCCTGCAGACTTAGCGTCACCTGTTTTTACTTCTTCCAACAACCCACGAGTTTCTCAGATCCCCAGCATTAACGGTTGCAATGTAAAGAAAAACTTAAGTAAACACATGATACCTTGAATAAATTAACCACTTTGCACGGACTTCATTTTCATCTCTGCAATACTTAAAAGACAAGTAAATGAGCACCTTCCTATAAAATCCCAACAACGATTCAGTAAGTCAAGACATTGTTTGGAGCCCCACCCGCCTTACAACAAAAATGATCCTAGTTGCTTAGTAGCACATGCAATCTTCCACTTTAAAATATAATTAATCATTATCGACCGGGAAGATAAAAGCCTTAGGGCCTTTCCTCGTTCCTTTTCTCCCCTGTATTAACTTTCTTTCAGAATTACCCCTAAGGAACCTACAGAAAAATTCTTCCCCAGAAAGCAGATCAGAAAGTTGTCCCCTCTCAAAGCACCCTCTATTTTCCCCATACCACTTAACATAATCTCTAATTATATTTTGTTCACTTCCCTAATGTCAATCTCCCACATTCCTTTCTGCTTCACAGGGACAAAGTTCAAAATTGTTTCATTCTCTACTTCTGATTAACTATGAACCTTAAACCCAAGGTGGCACACACACAAAAAAAATCTTGACTGAGTAAGTAGCATGACTAAGCACAGTCCTTCTAGAAACATGGGCAGGACAAAAGGAAAGTAAAACTCTCACACCCAGCACTCGTATACAATCAGCATCTTTTAAAGAAACAGCTGAGCAAAGACAGCTAAAACTCATGAAGATTGAGAACTAAATCCAAAGCCTTCCAAAGCATCAAGTGAAAAATGCTCAGAATCTACGTTAACATGTTTTAATTAAGATTATTTAATTGGGGGCTGAAGAGATGGCTCAGCAGTTAAGAGCACTGGCTGCTCTTGCAGAGGACCCACATTAAATTCCCAGTACCCACATGGCAGCTAACAACTAGGTGCACTTATATACATGCAGGCAATATACTCATACACATAAAATAATAAAATATAGAAAAAATTATTTAACTGAAGCCACTTGGATTCATAAGCTTTCTTTATTACTTGCGTGCATGAGTGTGGTATATGAATGTTCATGTGTGTATATGCTTCTGTAGATGTGTACATGCAGGTGGAGGCAAAAGGTTGACCTAAAGTGTTGTTTTCTAGTGCGCTCCACCGCATGTCTCTGAAACACAGGCTCTCACTGAACTTAGAGCTTACCATCCTGCTAGATTGGCTGGCCATGGAGCCGAGTGATCCACCTGTCTTGATAACTCAGATCTGGGTTACAGTTGTGCTTAGACACACCCAGCTTTTTACACAGTTGAGAAACTGAACTCAGGTACTTCTGCTTGCATGGAAGCACTTTGCACACTGAGCCATTTCTCCAGTCCTGGATTTATAAGTATTCATAGAATTCTGTCAATGTGACACTGCAACATAATGTTGTCATTTATAAAGTTCATGTTCAATATCCATGCACTGACATTACAAAAACCATAAACATAGCAAAAACTTGCTCAAGTCTTAATTAAGTTTACAATTTTGTGTTGGACCGCATTCATAGCTATCCTCACTCCATATAGCCTGTGGCCTGATGAACATGCCTGGTTGAGGTGTGAGAGGCATCATCCAAGAGCCTAATATGGAAAAACAAGGAGACAGAGGCAGGGCTGATAGCTCAGTACTCAGTAGGCCTAGTAATTTTCTTTAAGAAAAGTCAAAGCAAACTACAGTCTGTGAAAAACGGCATGCAAAAGAGTCTCCCAACAATTTTAATCTTTTCAACCGCCAGGTAACTATTTGATGTGCTCATCAAATTTAAATTGAGTACTTTTAAGGTTATGAGTCTCTGTACTCATCTATGGAAGAACAGTTAGGTCCCAGCTCATGAAGAACAAAATCAGATGCATATAGCATACTGCCAAAAGAGCCATCATTCTGAAGCCAAAGACAGAGATTTTGCTATCTTACTATCAAAATGTCACTTCTGTCATTCAGAGTCTGTGTGTACTTACTCAGTGGTCAGCACCTCTGAGTCATCATACTGGCTCTATATGTCTTGACTCTTCCCTGCGTACTGATCGTCCCATAACACATTCTTGGCTTGTAAATCTCCCTCTGCCTCCTCACATGGCTCATCCTGTCCTCAAGTTATCAGCTTCAAAGCCATTCTCTTCTGAGTCTGCATGGGACTTGTGTGCTGACATGAGACATTGGGCCTTAACATGGATGACAGAGTATATGGGTTGGGATAGGGGGAGCTATAAAAGATGATTAAGATTGTTTGAGAAATTCTGTATAAAATACAGAATTCAATAAAAACAAATTTTAAGTCATTCCCTCTACTTGCCAATTGTTGTTCTTAATGCCTACATCAGTGTCCTTTTCCGAAAGTCCTTTCCAGTGCTTATAAGTTTCAGTGTATTCCCTACTTTCTCTATCACAGTCAGGGTATCAGGTCTTATGTGGAGAGGTCCTTGACCCATTTGGAGTTGAATTTTGTGAAGGGTGAAAGATAAGGATCAAGTTTCATTCTTCCACATTTAGCTAAATAATTTGACAAGCACCATTTATTGAAGATACTTTCTTTTCTCCAATACATATTTTTGGCCTTTTTGTCAAAACTGAAATGGCTGTAGGAGCATGGCTTATATCTACATGCTCAGTTCTACTGCACTGATCAATGTGTCTGTTTTTATGCCAGTACTTTGCTGTTTTGATTACTATAGCTCTGCAGTGTACCTTGAAATCAGGGATGCTGATACCTCCAGCAGTGCTCTTATTGTTCAGAATTGCTTTGGCTATCCTGGATCTTCTGTGTTTCTGTGTGAAATTTGAGATTTGTTTTCAATTCTGTGAAGAATTATATTAGAATTCTGGTGAGGATTACAGTGAATCTGTAGACTTCTTTGGTAGAATGATAATTTCCATAATATTGATCCTTCCAATCCATAAGCATGGAGATCCTTCCATCTTCTGAGCTCCTCTTCAATTTCTATCTTTAGTGTGCTCACGTTTTCAATGTACAAGTCTTTCACTTCCTTGGTTAGAGTTATTCCCATATTTTTGTTTCTTGAGGTTGTGAATGGGACTGTTTCCCTGATTCTTTCTCAGTATGTTTGACCTTGGGATACTTGAAGGCAACTGATTATCACAACATGACCTCATGAAACTAAAAAGCTGTACAAAAAAGACACCATCGTTTCAGTAAAATGTAAAAAAATAAAAATAAAATAGTTATACTATCCAACATAGAATATGTAGAGAATGAAAAAAAAACTATACACCAAGTAAACAGAAAACAAAACACCCAATTAAAAAATGGGGCACAGGCGGTCAGTGCTCTTAACTGCTGAGCCACCTCTCCAGCTGACTGCTCTTGTAGAGGACCCGGGTTCGATTCCCAGCATCCACATGGTGGCTATGAACCATCCTTAACTCCAGTTCCAGGGGAATCTGAAGCCCTTTTCTGACCTCCCATGCACTGCATGACACGGGTGCACTGACATACATGCAGGCAATACACTCATACACATAAAATAAAAAAATAAATAAAATTTCTAAAAAATGGGGCATGGAATTAAACAGAATTCTCAAAATAGAGAGAGATAGAGACACAGACAGACAGACAGACAGACACACACACACACACACACACACACAAATGGCTGAGAAGTATTTTCTAAATGCTCAACATCCTTAGCCATCAAGGAAAT